TCTACTTTTAGTAAAGTTATACCCTCTTTTTATTTATCAATAAAAAGAGGGTATTACTTTACTATAAGTAGTATTCTTGCATTTATATTTTTCGAAAATATTCAACCGTTTATTTGGGCCAAATTTTCCTTATCAATGTAAATAAGCAATATATGCTGTATAACAACATAATCTTGATAACCAGTAAAAGTGATCCTACGTTAATTAGGTAATTAAATAAAATGATAATTTTATCGCGTTTCAAATTTTTCAGTTAGAATGTTATAATTTCCTTTTACTATTTTTCGTTTATGTTTGTATTTTATTGATAAGATGGCTGAATCTGCAAGAGTACTATCTATTCAAAGCCACATCGTGCATGGGTATGTGGGAAATAAATGTGCAACATTTTCTTTACAGGTGAGATTGCGTTTCATTAAAATCAACAGTTAATTATATATAAAAGTTTCAAATATTTTAACGCAAGAAGGAGCAGAAAATAGCAGCATACCGAGTGTTTTTTTTTTGTTTCTTTGGTAGGTGTTGGGCTTTGAAGTTGATCCAATTAATACAGTACATTATTCGAATCACACAGGACGCAGTATAGTAAAGGGTCAAATTTTAACAGAAAATGAATTAAGTGAGATTGCAAAAGGTTTATCTTTAAATAAATTGGATAACTGTTACACCCATTTACTCACAGGATATGTCCCCACTTCGACCCTTTTATTACGAATAGTGGATTTAATTAAACATCTGAAATCTATCAACCCAAATCTTATATACGGTAAGTACAACAATTGAAACAATTAAATAAAAAAAGACGAAAAGAATTTTACTACACAAATAATGTAATATAAGAAAAAAGTACTGGAGATACTTTTACAAATTTGAAATGTTGTTATTTAGTCTGTGATCCGGTGATGGGGGATGATCAGAAACTTTATGTTCCTGAAGCATTAGTGCCAATTTATAAAAACTTTGTGGTTCCTCTAGCTGATATTGTTATCCCTAATCAGTACGAAACGGAACTATTAACTGACAAAAAGATATCTTCTTTAAGTGATGTTCAAGAGTGTATAAACGTTTTACATGAAAAAGGCCCGAAAGTTGTTATCTTATCGTCATTTCAATTAGGAAACAACAATAGTTTATTATCGATTGCCAGTTTAAAGCATGGTAATATTTTCCTTACAACTATGCAAGAAAATTTTTGTATGTGGATGATGTGTCTTTTAATCTTACTAGGAGATTTAAGAGAAGAACTTGTTATTGAAATTCCTCGAATATCGGGATCTTATACAGGCACGGGAGACCTTTTTGCCGCTTTATTTTTGGCGTGGATGTATAAGACCAATAACTGCCTTAAAGAGTCATTAGAAAAGACTATTGCAACGTTACAGGCTATTTTAAAACGAACCTTCAATAACACTCAAGGTATAAATTAATGCATCTAATTATTTTATTACTTTATATCCTTTTTTATAATTCTGCGGGGTATTTAACATAATACCCTAATTGGTACCAACTTCATGCCATAAACTGTTTAGATTATTACTATTATGTATTGCTATTGTATGATTAATTAATTATTTGCTTGTAGATAGAGGTGATAATGAAGAACATACAGAACTACAATTAATTCAAAGCAAAGATGATATTGAAAATCCAAAAGTTGAAATACGAGCCCGAAGGAATAGCAAATATAATAAATTGTGATATACACTTGTTATACTGCGTGACAGTTTTCTCGAAACATCCTCATATTTCTATTTAAATTGAATAAAATATAATAGTATAAAAATATATAATCCATCTTTCGCCTAATGGTTTTTTTAACTTTTCGAATTTTAAAAAATTATAAACTACCTACATTACAAATTTAATTTACAGTATAATAATAGTGAACTAATGTGTCTTTTGGTCTTCAACTTTTATTTTAATTAATTTATTTTAATTAATCACTGGTTCGGTTAGGTCACGTTACATGGGTTAGATTAAGTTATTCACAATTAGTTAGATTTGGACCACTTGCACTGACAAAACTGACCGTTTCGAATTAAATACTGACCATTTAAATTGAAATACCGTTCATATTTAAATGCTGATTATCAAAAGATACCAAAAGGGATTAAAATACAAGCCAGTAAAAAAAACCTTTTTTTATTAAAAACCCGATGGCTGTACTGTAGCCACACCCGTAGATTGTTTTGTATTTTGCAGCAGTCTTTTGCTTTGTAGGTTAAATTTTGTTTGCCGTTGTGTTGCATTTACATGTGCTAATAGTTTAAAGGTGTTTAACAATAAATAAACACAAAAGTCATAAAAATTAAACAAAAATTAACTTACATTTTAAATAATAAACTCGTACGCTTATTTTTTAGCAGTTTCCCGTGGTTTTAAGTAGAAGTTTTAAGGTACATATGGTTTAAATTATTTCATCATCTTTTGGTATACACTTGTTTTATATTATCTTAATAATTTTATATTGTGGGGTCTTCAGGATGAATACCCATATGACTGCTAAAGAAATACGCAATGCCTACATTGACTTTTTTAAAGAAAGAGGTCATACATATGTTCATTCTTCTTCAACAATTCCTTTGGATGACCCCACCTTATTATTCACAAATGCAGGTATTTATAACTTTGATATTACTAAATTGTGTTAGTATTTCATCTTGATCTCTTGTTTATACTTTGTTAATTGTAGGGATGAATCAATTTAAACCAATTTTTTTGGGAACTGCTGATCCCAATAGTGATTTATATAAACTAGTACGTGCTGTTAATAGTCAAAAATGCATAAGAGCAGGTGGTAAACATAATGATTTGGATGATGTAGGGAAGGATGTCTATCATCACACATTTTTTGAAATGATGGGGAATTGGTCATTTGGGGATTATTTTAAAAAAGAGATATGCAACTGGGCCTGGGAATTATTAACCGAGACATTAAAATTGGACCCTGCACGTCTTTATGTCACCTATTTTGGAGGAGACTCATCACAGGCACTTGAGCCTGATAACGAATGTAAACAGATATGGCTTGACATTGGTAAGAAATGTTTATTACTGTTAATTAATTCTTGTAAACTTATTATTTGTATTATTTAGTACCTCTAAATCTTTTATTATGCTTTTGTAATCTTATTTATTTTATGAATTAACATTAAGATTTATTTAATATTGTATACAACTACAAAATTAACCAATAAACTGGTGCAAGATAGAAAAGCAAAGGCAGTGGTAACAAATAAATGAAAAAATAACACTCACTCTTTTTTTTTTAAATTAATTTAATAAATTGGAGTAAATTAAGGTATCTCATTTTTTTTTCATTTAAATTTCATTATAATATGAGTCCTAATGGCAGTAACTTTCACAAAACAATGTGAAATTTATAGCTATATTTAAAAAATAAAGTACATTATTGTTTATTAAATTGGTATGCATATTAATTTTTTGTCCTTAATTTATATAAAATATAGGTTCGTTTCTATTACTGATTTAGTTTCCTGATTTTCATTAAGGTGTGAAACCCGATCATGTGATACCAGGCAATATGAAAGACAATTTCTGGGAGATGGGCGAAACAGGTCCATGTGGACCTTGTTCCGAATTACACTATGATAGAATTGGGGGTCGCTCAGTACCACAATTAGTTAACCAAGATGATCCGGATGTACTGGAAATATGGAATCTTGTGTTTATTCAGTTCAATCGAGAAAGTGATGGGTCATTGAAACACCTTCCAAAGAAGCATGTCGATTGTGGCTTAGGATTAGAAAGACTCGTGTCTGTACTCCAAAATAAGAGATCTAATTACGACACTGATTTATTTGTACCTATATTCGAGGCTATTCGGAGAAATACTGGAGCTCCTCAATATCAAGGTATGAATAAAAATATTGACATTACATTTCATATTGAAACTTATACATATCGATTTAAAATTTAGGAAGAGTTGGTGAAGATGATGTTGATGGCACTGATATGGCTTATCGAGTTCTTGCTGATCATGCTCGTACTTTAACGATTGCTCTATCAGACGGAGGTACACCGGACAACACCGGTCGGGGCTATGTTTTACGCAGGATTTTAAGAAGAGCCGTACGCTACGGTACAGAAAAATTGAACGCAAAACCAGGAGTCTTTGCTTCTCTGGTTCCTGTAGTTTGCGATATTCTCGGAGACACTTTTCCAGAAATACAGAAAGACCCTCAAAGCGTTATGGACATTATTAATGAAGAAGAAGAACAATTCTTAAAAACTCTGTCAAGGGGTCGTAACTTACTTAATCGCACCATCACAAAAATTGGAGAAAATTCGAAGTGTTTACCTGGAACAGTAGCATGGAGACTGTATGATACTTATGGATTTCCAGTTGATTTAACGTTATTGATGGTAGAAGAAAAAGGTCTGAGCGTTGATATGGATGAATATGAAGAGGCAAAGAAGCAAGCTCAAATTATCTCACAGGTAAGTTTAGAATCACAAACGATTACAAATTACTATTAAATTTCATATAGAACAAAGCTGGTGGAGTAGAAGACACCGTAAATTTAGACGTTTACGCTATTAACGAATTGCAAAGTCAAAAATTACCTCCTACCGATGATCAAGCTAAATACAATTATCATTCCAACGGTGATATCAACAGCGAGTACAAATTTCAATCATGTACTGCAACCGTTGTAGCTTTACGACACTCCAAACAGTTTGTCGACAAAATATCGAGCGGTCAAGAGAGTGGAATTATTCTTGATAAAACGTCGTTTTATGCCGAACAAGGAGGACAAATTTATGATACAGGATTTATAGTTAAAGCAGGGGATGACAGTGTGGAGTTCGCAGTAAAAAATGTTCAGGTACATAATAATTATTTCGACATTACATCAGTTCGATTTTATGGAGCGACTTCGGTTTGGCTAGTAATTTGTCGAAACTGTCTATGGCGTGCTGATAATAACTAATAAGTTCGAAATTTAAATTTACTATGGTGGTTCCGATAAATTACTAGCCAAGAACCTATTGTTCTTGATTAATTCATTCCTCTTATTTTCACATTAAATTAGAAAATTATAAGTAACGTAAATTTGTATAATCTTACATTAAATTAGAAAGGGTAATCATGCCCGTTGATTCTTTCATAAGTCGATAAATAAGTGAATTGAAATAAATACAAATGTAATTGGAAGATTTATTCTTTTAAATGCAAAGCAAAACAGTTATGATTTGACTGTATAAGTTCTGTAATTTAATGTAGGACAAACAAGTGCATATACAATTAAGAAAATTAAAAAAATTACTGAATCTCTTAAACGTAAAATTGTGACTGTTGTAGGTTCGAGGTGGTTATGTGATTCATATAGGAACAGTCGAAGGGGTGCTTTGTAAAGGAGATAAAGTAGAATTATATGTAGACACTTCTAGAAGACGCCTAATAATGAATAATCATACTGGAACACATATTTTAAACTATGCTCTTCGTGCCGTCCTCCAAACCGAAACAGATCAAAAGGGTTCATTGGTTGCCCCTGATCGTCTGAGATTCGACTTTAGTAATAAAGGTGCATTAACTACGGAACAAGTAAAAAATGTTGAATTAAGATCAAAAGAGCTGATTGATAAAAATGGAAGAGTTTATGCAAAAGAAAGCAGTTTGGCAGTGGCTAAAACGATCAATGGTTTAAGAGCTGTTTTTGACGAGACTTATCCCGATCCTGTGCGAGTCGTGAGTATTGGAGTGCCGGTGGAAGACTTGGAAAATGATCCTTTTGGACCAGCGGGTATGCATACTTCGGTGGAATTTTGTGGAGGAACTCACTTGCATTATGCTGGACATGTTGGAGATTTCATCATTGCTAGTGAAGATGCCATAGCAAAGGTAAATTTCTTATACATTTTATTTAATTAGTCCTTTTTAGGGTTTTGTACCAAAAAAAAAAGAATCCTCACAATCCTCGATTGTCATTTTTGAAAATCGTTAACAATGTGCAAATATGTTTTTGTTATAGGGAATTAGAAGAATAGTTGCTTTGACTGGACCTGAAGCCACGAAGGCTTTAAAGAAAACGGAACTTTTAGAAAATTGCCTCAACGAATTAAAATCTGCTATAGACTCGGATAATACGTCTAATGATACAAAAAAATACGTTAAAAAAATCGTTGAATTGACCAACGAAATTTCTCAAGCCGTAATTCCCTACTGGAAAAAAGATGAGCTTAGGAATGTTTTAAAAGGTCTTAAAAAGAATCTTGACGATAAAGAACGTGCTGACAAAGCTGCCATTGCCAATCAAGTTATCGAAGACGCGAAGAAAATTATTACGGAAAATAAAGCTCTCGTTTTAGTGGAAGTATTGAAGGCTTATTCGAACACAAAGGCCTTGGATTCTGCTCTTAAACAAGTGAAAACATTAACTCCGAACACAGCCGCAATGTTCTTTAGTGTTGATAATGATGCTGGTAAGATATTCTGCTTATCAAACGTACCGAAAGAAGCTGTGGACAAAGGTTTAAAGGCAAATGAATGGGTGTCTCAAATCACGCAACTTATTAAAGGAAAAGGCGGTGGGAAGGCAGAATCTGCACAAGCTTCCGGTACCAATCCTGCTGCTCTGAATGAAGCACTTCAATTAGCTAGGAAATTCGCTTTAACGAAATTATCCTAGCAAAATTGAGATATTTAATTATAAATTAAATCGTATTTATTGTTTCATTTTTAATAAAAAAATACTACCAATAACATACTGTCAATTTATTATCAACCTAATGAATAGCAACAGCGACTTCGTCGCTATATTTTTGCTGTTAAAAATATGGCCGAAACGTTGTAACTGTACATTAGGTTGTTAATAAATTGACAACATGCCATTAATAGTATTTTCTATTGAGATTTCTTTGGTATCATTGGCTTCTTTTATATTGTTTCTTTTTTACATTTTTATGACTCTTTAATCAGTGGCAAACATTAATTAGATCAAGAATATTGTAATTTGTTAAAAGGATGAATTTGATGAAAGCCCTAGAATAAAAAAATTCCTAATAAGTATTTTAAGTTTTATTTACATTTTTATCGTACAATATCCTAATTTTTTGTAACAAACCACCGACGTTTTGACCAGTTTTAGCACTCAAAGGAAAAACCTCTAAATCTGTTTTATCTCTTAACTGTTTGAGTTTATCGTTTCTATCCAAAAGGTCAATTTTATTTGCTACAACTAATTGTGAACGTTGTAATAAATTATTACTGTAATGTGATAATTCGTTTTTTAATATATCTAAACTATTCCAAGGTTGATCTAATGACATGTCCAATATAAAAAGTAAGACAGAACATCGTTCTATGTGTCTCAAAAATTGAATACCTAATCCTTTATTTTTATGTGAGTCTTCTATTAATCCCGGTAAGTCTGCAACTATTTTATTCCTAAGCAAAAATGTAAATTAATAAAGATATCAACATACCAGCTATTTGTTCATAATCATTATAAAGAACCATTCCTATATGTGGTTTTAGAGTTGTGAAGGGATAGGGGGCTATTTTGGGTCGAGCTCTAGAAATTGCTTGCAAAAGAGTACTTTTACCCGCATTGGGTAAACCAACCTATGAAATAAATATATTTAAGAAGCTGAAATTTACACTACAACAAAAAAAAACTTACAAGTCCAATATGAGCGATACTGCTGATTTCAATGTGATAATTTATATTTTCACCGATTGCACCATACTCACAAATATCTGGACTTTGTTGAGTTGGACTTGTAAAAAATTTATTGCCTTTTCCGCCCGCTCCTCCACGAGCCGCTAAAAACATTGAACCTTCTTCTTTTAAATCTCCAACAATGCAGCCATTTGCATCTTTTATAACTGTGCCAACAGGAACTTTTATCAAAGTATGATCAGCATTTTTACCATGACAGTCTCTATTGGAACCTTTTTCTCCTTGTTCAGCCTTTACTACTGAATCAACATTCTTAAGGTCTTTAACAGAAGTGCATGCTTGAAGAATCACATGACCACCATTGCCTCCGTCACCTCCATCAGGGCCCGCATATTCGTTAGCCCACTCACTAAGAAAAGAAATACAACCGTCGCCTCCATTACCCCCTATCGTCTTTATATGCATGTGGTCTATAAAATTTTGATTCTATTTTCTATTACAGAATAAATGCCTTCTATAAGTACTAGTACTTACAAAAGATCGCAAAGACTTCGGTTTAATGTTACGAAGTGGTTGAGGCACTTTACAACAATAACGGACACTACTTTTTAAACAAAGGAACGATTTTAAAAGTTTCGTGGAGGTCATTTTTAATTATTTCATCTAATTTATTAGGAATATGAAAAAATAAAACTTAAAAATAATTATACTAAAACTGACTAAAACCATAGATAAGCAAGACATAACCAATTTAATTTTATATGACAACCATAGATAATATCATAGATTGTATTATATTTCTAATCTATAGATAACATCTTGACAAAAATCAAAATTTTGTTATCAGCTGTATTATGGTCGTCATATCAAATAAATTGGCTGTCGTGTCTCGTAGCATTCAAGGGCCAAAAAAGATGTCGACCGACATAATTTTAGTACATAACCTAGGAAAAAGTCCATGAAATGTTCTAATAAATAAACATGAAGATAAAACGCCATAAAAAAGTTCATAAAGACATCTCTTTTTATGTGAATTACTTTCATTTTCGGCCCCCTTATCAAATAATAGTTGATGGAACATTTTGTTTTGCGGCACTAAATGTAGAACTACCTACAAGCAACATATGTACAATTTTTAATTATTATCTTTGTAGAATAAGATTAACATTAAAGATAATATTCCCAAGTACCTTCAAGACAACGTTAAATTTCTAACAACGCAATGTGTTATAATAGAAAGTGAATTGCTTGGAAAGAAGGTGTTTGGTGCATTGCTTGTATTAAAACAATTTGCTCTACACAAATGTGGCCATGAAGGCAAGCCTGTGTCAGCTGTAGAATGCTTACTATCAATGGTAGGCCAGGATAACTCCAACCATTACATTTTTGCAACTCAAGATAGAGATTTACAAAAAAAATTACGTCAAACTCCTGGTGTACCTTTACTTTTTTTGCATCAAAAGACACCAGTTTTAGAACATCCTTCTCAAGCTTCCATACAAAAAGCAAATGAAATCAAACAACAAAGATTTTCTTTATCAAAAGAAGAAATCGATAAATTAGAAAAGATTAAGGAATCACATGGCATTGATACCATAATGGAAATTCCAAGGAAGAGAAAAAGGAAAGGACCTAATCCACTGTCTTGTAAAAAGAAAAAGACAAATACTAAAAGTTGTAGTACAGGAGAAGATAAAGATGGAAATAATAAAAAGAAACACAAGAAAAAGGTTCGTGTATCTAAACATATTAAAGAATTATTAAAAGAACAAAGTACAATAAATTGAGTTAATAATTTCTTTTTTTAATATTTCAATGCAAACATAAATACAGGATATAGATTTTGTGGAAAATTGTTTTGTTTACTGATTAGTACAGACTGTAAATTCGATTTTTGAAATATATTTTTCAAAAGACACAATGATCTCGTTATTGAAAAGTCTTTTTCATCAATTTCAAACTCTCCTGCAGGTAAAGTGTTTTCTTTCAAAATAATTAATCCGTTTTTTGTAAGACCTTTTCTGAAATAACAATATAGTAAAAATTGATCTATTGAATAACTGATTACTACCAACCCACAATCATTTAAAAATCTAATAAAGTCTGAATCCGTAAGATGACCTGAGACCCATTGTATCCAAATGACATCATAATAATTTTCTGCAGGTACGAAGTTTTGTAATCCAGTACATATTATTTTATCAATTTTACAAGATAAATATGGATTTAAATTATTTTTAAAAGTGTCAATGAAGGAACAGTTTTGTTCAATCAAATCAATTTTTTCAAAAAATCTGCTTAGCAGATGTTCAGTAATTCTTCCTATCCCAGCACCACAGTCTAAAGAATGCTTTTTATTTGGAGAATTTTGCATATGAAACAGTCTTTCAAGAAATTTTTTAGATTCATATATATCAACTTCAGACAAGAACCCATAGCCCCCTAAAACTCCGTCAACTGTAGCTGGTATTTTAGACCAATATTTCTTAGCATTAAGATACCATTCATCATTAATTGGTTCACATTCAATAATTGTATTATATAAGGAAAGTATATTAGCTTTATTAAATGGTGGAGTTGTCATACCTTAGTTTTTAATCATCGTAAATCAAATGTCAATAAAGTCACCAAGTCATAATTTAATCGAGATTGAATTTTATTTCGTCATCATTAATATGATAAAATTAAAGTAACTTAAAGAAAAAAGAAACATATAGGTCTTTTAAGTTTGATTAACTTTTATTTATTTTTGCTTGAATTAATTTTATTATTGATAATTCTATAAATAATGGTTGAATGATTCTCTAATGGAAGAAGTTGTCTTCTTAGTTTAAAATAGTCCTCTTTATTCATTGAAAAATTAATTATATCTTCAACATTACTATTTCTTCCTTCTGTTTTATGTTCAAGTTCCCGTCCTGTTATATTTCCCAACAAAACGGTTTCAAGTAATTCCATTTCTAATTCCAAACATTTACCAAGTTTTTGCAATAATATTTTATGAACAGGTTTACTCAGCAAAAGTTTAAGGCCATCACCAAATTGTTTAAAAAGCTCGAAGTCAATTGTCTTTGGAATAACGGTCAAGAATGGAATGTTTAGAAAAAGGAAATGTATAAGAATTTCCACGCTCGTCTGCACCCTTAAAATAAATAATTTATTTTTTTAAAAATTTACATATGGGATGTTGTTAGGTTTTTGCCATGCTTGCTATATATATGAAATAAAAGCGTTTGACCTACATATTTAAATATCTTTCTGGTATTTCAAATATTGTTTAAATACTGATGACCAAAAATATTTGACACATTTCTAAAGTATTTATACATATTTGTAGCCAAACACTTTTTTGTACTTTGTATTGTTATTACCCATAAAATACATGAATTAGATAAACTCCTTCCTCAATTATCTCATGGATTTTAACAATTGGTCCAAGTGATGAGTTACAGATATTCCTAGGTATGTATAAGTTATCAGAACATGTAACTTTTCTCATACATCCAAGTAATATTTCTTTTAAATTTCTGTTTGTATTTGTCTCTTCAATGTACAGAATAAGTTCTACTTTAGGATTTAAACTTAAGAAAGACAGAACAGACTCTTTCTTATACTCTAGTATATCATTCTCTGAAATAAGTATATCTGCATTATATAAATCACCTACAGTTATTTGGAAACTAGGGAGAGCTATCTGAATTTCATTGTCATTTGTTTTCATTACTACTATGCCCTCAAAATTATAATTTTGCTTTGAAGAAAAGTCAGGAATATTAATTACAGCAGTAATTTCACTAAAATTTGTAGTGGATTCAATCCACTCAGAACTTAAACTAGTCCCATTTTTACTTGTACCACTCTTAAGTACTTTTATAACATTTTCAATTTCTTTGGATATTAATTTTGATTCTGGGATGCTTGGTACATAATAGGTAAACGTTTTAACAGTATAATTTATAGGTTTTTCTTCATCCCATTGTATAATTACTTTTATATCTTCAGTAACTCTGAAAAACAAGAGTAGCTAGGTACATTAAGAATGTTCAAATAATAGCACTGCAGTGGATACGTGAATTCCCGTTCATAATAAATTGTGATGGAATAAAGACTTACTCAAGAGTTTGTTTGCTACTGAAGCCTACAACAATATAGTTTCCTATAATTTTTTTCCATTTTTCTTTAAACTTATAGGTCGTGCTTTTATCGAAATGCGTTTGGTTTACATACTTATCTAACATTTTTTTCTTTTTTTGTAGTTGGTTTGAGAGTTCGTTATTACGGGCTCTTATTTCTTCTAATTTGAAGTTAATAAATGCCTTTATAGGATCGTTATTTAAATCTAAAGTGTCAACATCAATATCCATTATAATGATATTTATTTTAAATGATGAAACTCATATGAAACTGGAGGACATAATATTTTTCGATTTTATCATTTTAAAAACAAAACAAAATTCATATCATAATAGGCATACACAAGATAATAGGTTAAATCCGAACCATAGACTGTATAATTTTATATTGTGGTTATAGTATACTTGCAGTAATTAATTATAAAATTAATGTTACACGCATTTATATTGTAATTGTATATAGAAAAACGACATACTTTTTGAAACATTAAGCAATATCTTTTCTTTGGCAATATAACAGAATATTCAGTCCACTTTCTGAACGGAAAGTAATCTATCAATGTAGGCAATGTACGATCTCAGTGTTTTATCTTTATTATATGCTCTTTGTGTATCTATTATCTATGGTTATATCCGAGTGTATCTATTGGCAAATAGACGTTTATTTAATTATTTAAAAATTAAAACAACCGTAAAAGGCGTAAAACTTACAACTACTTAGCTCTTTTAATATTTTGTGATTATTGATGAATTTGAGAATGTACAAATTACAGAAAAAATTACTACAATTAGAAAACGATTTTGACAATTTGAATGCTGAAAATGAAAGAAAACATTTACTAGAAAATCTCAGAGAGCTTCGACAAATAAAACGTAATGTTTTCGTAGGTTAATTTAGTTATTAATTATTAATTGCTATTTTTTAGGAACAATAACGGATTGTGTTTCAGAAATCTCGTCTTCCGAAAAAGTTAACCTTATATCAAAATTGGCTGAATCTAATATCACAGCAGATCAAGGAATGCCGTATATTGCTCTTAATAAACAATGTGCTTGTAAACTACAAAATTTAAAGTCATTAATTTTTGCAGAGTTTAATAAAACAGACTCTTGTAAGAAACAGGAATATATAGATGTAAGGGGAAGGATTTTGTTATTTTATTTAATCAGCAGTTAAGCAGCAGTTACTTGGGGATATTAATTTTATAACAAAACTATTATAGATGCTGCTTGATAAACATCAAAATGAGTACTTAATGGACTTTTTAAGAGACCTTGAAGAAAGTAAATTTTTTTTAAATAATTTTGCAAGCAATTTGTCTTTGTTTCTAGAAGTAGCAAAAGATAATCTTAATGTTGATGGTAAGAAAAATTATACCTATATTAAAATTGCTGTGATGAACTGATCAAGATTAATTTTTACAGATGTAAATAATCCCAATAATACAATACTCAGCAGCTGCTCGTCTATAACTGTGGATTTTGAAAATTGTAAAAATAATCCAAATATTGCTGCATCTTCCCCAGTTAATTCTGATTCGACATAATATGTTTTCTTANATTAGCGTTGTTTGTACTAAACTTTTCATTTTTTATATTTATGCTATTGTCGTTACACTATACTTCGAACAGCACATGCTGAAAATATAGAAAGAAATTATATATCTCAAAAGTTTCCTAGGGGACATTTTTTTGCTTTGGGGTTATTAAAAGCAGCAAGCCAATTTTAAACGTTTGAAAACAAATTTTACCTTTTATAACTTGGTCTAAGTAGGGTAAGCCGTTCCGTGTAACTTCGTAATCAATCTTTTCATGTTCCTGAAGGGCGGAAATTATTTCAGTTTTGATTCTGTTTTGTATTTCAGGATTTAAAGCTAATTCGTACAGTCCAAAGGATAAAGCAACCGTAAGAGGTTCAAAACCAGCAAAGAAAACCTGGCCAACCTGACCAAACAAAAAATTGTTTTCTAAAAAAGGAAAGTTTTACGGTTATTACGCGTCATTAAGACAAAATTTTGGTCTTATCTTATTAGTAAAGGAAGTGACAACTAAAAACTATTTTTTTTTTTTAAATATTGAATTTTTTAGAGATCGACTAGACTAATGTCTGATTTATAATTTCTTAAATTCTGTACTGTCTAATAAATGAAAAGCATGATGTAGGTATCCATACCAAACAACATCCACATAATGTGTATGTTACTTCTGTTTGTCGAATATTAGCGATTGTTAAAGTTCACTTTACTTAGAAAACAAGGTTTAAAATATACGTGGATGCAAACTGTTTGGAAATTATTAAAAAAACTATATGTATTTTAAGAACATGAACATGATGGAAACTTTGTTATAGGTACTATATTTATTTAAACAACAGGCAGTATATCGTTTGACAAGGTCTCTCGAAGATATTCTATGAAGGTATCTGAGATACTAAATCTACAACGCACCTTTTAATGTTTTAATGTCTTTGTTTGATTGCTTAGGATCGCTTATAATTAAAAGGTTACGGTAGAAATAGACAACACTCCCCTCCTGTATTTCTTAAAAAAAAATTAAATCATATTTTTGATTGATTAGTTAAGCTGCGGGTTGGGTTTGGCTGTTTTATTTTAATTCTTTCAGCCTCCAAAATTAGTGGAAGTAATGGTTTCAGCGCCCCACATATCTAAAACTTCAACGAAATTCGGAGAAGAGCATACCTACTATTCGTGATATTTACCAAATTGCTAATGTCCCGAAATATATTTAAATTTAAAATTTAAACTTATAACCTAACCTGCAACAGGTGCATAGACGCATCATTGAAAAAGATGAAATTGCCATTATATTAAAAAAGAAATTAGTAGGTTATAGTAAGTTTAGGTTGCCTTGATTTGAAATTTATGTAAATGTATTTCAGGGATTTCGAAAAGCGTTGGTTAAAGTTAAAGTTAAAAGATCAGTCATTCCGTGGAGCGCCTACATATCGGTTTTTGATTCCAACATCTAACTTATGAATATAATAAAAACATTGTAACGTTACCTTTACATTCCATGATACTTGACAAAATGTGGTTAATAATAACACCTTTGAAATAATTACTGAAGACACTTGTTATCACCGTAACACACTTAACACAACACTGTTTTAATACACTATGCCGACACTACTGACACGAAAGGACACCGCAGACCGCACAAACAGACTATGCTGTAACTTTGAATCCGAACATTAAACTTAGTCCCTTATCACAAATTATTGGTTTATCAAAATAATGGTGGCCAAGGCTACTCTGACATGCTTTCAGTACTATAACTGAATAAGCATAATTTAGTAGGTATATATACTGACAATGCAAAGGTATTATTGTCAGGTGTAGGCAGCCCAACATACACAGAACCGAAGTCGTGAATTCAATACTACCCAGTCGTACGAAACGACACAAAGCGCAATAAGAAAAGCGAAGAAGATAAAGTGTGTGTGATATATTACTGAAATAGAAATTAATTAATAATAGTAGTGTTAAGTCAGGAGTAAATTATTAAATAAATTAACCAGTAGTGAGAAAGGTGTTTGATTTTGCACTTGTATAATAATTATATTATTCTTGAACATGTATAGATAAAAATAAAATATTTTTAAGATTTAACTATATATGATATAAGTAAATTTAATACAGTAAAAGGGAGTGCTTAAATATGATCTAAGTAAGTAGAATTTTACTTATTTTAAATCCCTAATCGCATGTCCTTTTATAAAAAAAGTAAAATATTGTTGGTAAAAATAAGAAAAAATTAAACATACTTGAATGCCCACAAAACGTTTATAACAACTTCGTTTATAGGAAAAGCGACAATTCGCATACCTATAAAAACGAAAAATTGTGACTTTTTATAAAATTTTAAATTCCGATATAACGACAGCTGGGTCATATAATGCAAACAAATTAAAATGAAGTCGTAGGATTTATTATTTTATAAATAATTGTCGAATATGTTTGTGCATAACAACCGTGTACATATGCATATAAAACAAATACGTAATTGCTTATAGCGTCTGTCGGTTATAGCGAATGAATTTCGACAGTCCTTCAGTTACTTTACACAATAATTCTGGACTACAAAAACTACTACTTTGAAGTTATCTTTTCGGTAGGTCGGTAAGTACCCTAACGAAAATCAGTTGTTCCCCATTTTGTCACTGTTTTGACCTTCATTGACGTAGGTACCCTAAAATCTGCATACCGAAAAAAATTGGAGCAAATCTGTCTTAACGCCCGGTTTTTAAAATGCTAATTTAATATTAAACGAATAACGTAAGTGAAGTAATTCTTCTTATTTGTTTAGTGTTTGCAATTGTTATTTAACTGCAAAATACAGTCATGCTATGAATATTAAAGTTTAAAAATGTATTGCTGACTTTTTGAACTTCAAATATAAGTTTTTATTAGGTACCAGTGTTAAAGATTTTGGTGAATATTCAATTTTTAGCGGGGTATTTATGCAAGTCTTTATCTCAAATTCGGAGAGAATTTCTACGAGAGCAAGTTTTAGGACAATAATTGAATATCGTTTTCCTGAAAGAAAAATATATTAATTATTATTTAATATGAAAATCCTTTGTGTAGATTAAAGTATAATGTTTCACTTTTGAGCAAGGAATTTTTTACATACCTCGTAAATTCGTACGTGGTTTTGTCTTTTTAATTTATAGTCGATTATTTGAAGGGAGTGCGATTGATACATACAGAGTGTAATAAAAATAAGTACCAGGTTTGCAAGGTATAGAGTAAATGTTTATAGTACTTAGTGCTGCCTGTAATGTACTTATTTAATTTATTTTGTCTAAAAATTATGTATATATACTTAGATTTGCAGATCATATAGCAGTATTAGCATCTAGCAAGGAGGACCTAGAGATAGCTTTAAATAAAATGGAAGCGGTA